ATTTATATGCGAATAAAAGGCTTTGGATTTGGTTTTGATAAACTTTTAAAACAATGTTAGAACAGTTAGAAGTCCTTAATAATGGCTAGATTCCAGTAGTAAGTCCATGATGGCTATCATCAGCTATCTCTCTTCCCATGGCTGGCTCGCAGGTCTTCTATGGTTGTCTTCAGGTATCTTTCCAGCTGCTGGTACAGGCTGTTAATATACAGTTTAATACCAAACGTGACAAGGGGTCTATTGGGAGTGAAGCCCTTCAGCTGGAAGGGGGGGAGTCACAGTGGAGTTATTGGTCCCTTCCGCCTTTGCCCGCCACTCCGGATTTTCTCAGGGTCCGAGTCGAGGCAATTTCAGTCCACGACAAAACAGCATCCAAATAACCCCGGGGCGACAGCAAGCTGAAACCCGGGCTGACCACTGAAGTTCCCTCTAAGCTGTGGAGTCTTGTGTGCAAAAATTCTACTTTGTGAGAAACACAGAAAAAGGTGTTCCCTTTATCCACTGCAGGATGAACACATGCACGCTTCCTTTTTTGTTTCAATCAGGGCTTTTTTTGTAGAAAAAGCCCAGCGGGAACTCATTAGCATAATAGGCCACACCCAAACAGCAGGAACTCCCTAGCATTTTAGGCCACACCCCTGACAGTGCAGCACATTAGCATATTAGGCCACACTCCCGTGCATTCTCTTGGGGAGCCCGGGCAAGCCCCCCCTGGAAGGGAAGGGAAGGCAGTGCTTGCCCAGGTGCCCTGTGGCTGCAGGGAGCCCAGGCAAGCTGGCCCTTGGACAGGCTGGGGAAGGCAGAGGGTGGCATTTAAATGCCTCCCCAGTCCTTCCAGGGGGTCCCTTGGCCTGCCCTCCTCGGAATTGCCGTGGGGGAATCGCTGTCCAGGCCTTCCCTCTGTAGCCACGTATGCAGAGGTTTTGGCTGTAGTGGGCGTGGCCAACTCTGAAGCCAGCTGGAACTCCATTCCTGTGCGTTCCTGCCTAAAAATAGCCCTGGTTTCAATCTGTATCTAACACCTTAGCCATTCCATTACTAATACAGTATTAGCTTTTTTTAAAAAAGCCATTTTGGTATAGTGGTTAAGTGCGTGGACTCTAATCTGGGAGAACCGGGTTTGATTCCCCACTCCTCCGCTTGCAGCTGCTGGATGACCTTGGGCAAGCCACAGTTCTGTCAGAGCTGTTCTCTCAAGGACAGCTCTGGAAGGAGCTCTCTCAGCCCCACCTACCGTACAAGGTGCCTGTTGTTGGGAGGGGAAGGGAAAGGAGTTTGTAAGCCACTCGGAGACTCCAAGTGAAGGGCGGGGTATAAATCCAATCTTTTTCTTCTTAAAAAAACCCAAAAAAACATGTTCCCCAAACTCCTTTGCTACCGGCTGGTTAACTTTGCTGTCATTAATTTAGCTGCTGCTTGAGAGGCTCTCTATCGAAGTAATTTAAAATGAGCATTGAGAATTTAGACTTTGCTCATATTCCAGTTGCTTGTACGTGTGGGTGTTAAGTGCCGTCAGGTCACTTCTGTCTTCGGACGACCCTATGAATTAATGTCCTCAAAAACATCCTATTCTTAAGAGTTGTTAAGTTGCTCGCTTAACAAAGAAGTCGGAGAGTGATTCAGCAAGAACACAACTTTATTCTTCCACTCAAACACAACTCCAACACGGATCAACATCTGATAGCCAGAACAGGCTGTCCTGCTTTTAAACATTCCCGGCTAATGTAGCCACACCCACTGTACAAATACCAACCAATAAGGTTGTTCGCATAAGGACCAATCACGGATGTTCCCGCTCAGGGAGCTTGCTTGAAGGTGATTGGTTAGGTGCTTCCTGGGCTAGTAACACGATTGCATGGATTTGGATCCTAGCCCAGGACGAAGCTTTATATTATACTTCAATTAGATGTTTCACAACATATCATGCATTCAAGGCAGCTTTGAATACACTACAAGAGTCTTGCTCAGGTCTTGCAAACCGAGGGCCTTTGCGGCTTCCTTGATGGAGTCAACCCATCTCGTCTTGTGTCTTCCTCCTTTTCTGCTGCTTCCACTGGCTCTTTTTGTAGCAGGAACTCCTTTGCATATTAGGCGACACACACCCTTGTGAGAAGAGCTCTGTAAGCTCTTGGAGGATTGGCTAAATTAGGGTGTGTCGCCTGATATGCAAAGGAGTTCCTGCTACAAAAAGAGCCTTGCCGGGTCATTATCAACAACAACAACAACAATAATAATAATAGTAATGCTTTCGATTTATTGATCGCTTTTCCCCACATACCTGCGGGCTCAAAGCGATTTACAGTTACTCTTGAGACAGTTGGACTAACAATATTTGTGGGGATAGGGAAGCCAAACATACAGCACTAATTACACACACATTGCAGCTACCCGGGCTTCATCTGCGGGCTGGGTCTTTTCCAGTGCTTATACAATAATATTTGTTTGCGTATGTATAAGGGCAGTTCCCCCCTAGATGGAAAACCCCGTTTCGTCAAATTTGCAGCACTTGAAAACAGCCATTGGATAGATCCTATTTAGTCTGACCAGAGTTATACACAGCTTCCCAACCTCCAAAATGTAAAACAATATACCCCTCTTAGCCAGATACTTGTTTTATTACTCATGTAATGGACTGATGAATGTGAGGGGATTCAAATCAAGGGCTTAGATATTGCTAGTCAAAATGCCCAGGGTATTTCATTTACCCCTCCCTTTCTTCACCCTAGTTACCCTCTGGCTTCTCTCCCCTATCTCCTATCCCACCTTTGGGGTGTTTTTTTTTAGATTTTGAGAGCTGTCTCAAGCTGCCTTCTAATGCCTTCTTTTGGGGGTTGGGGTGTTAGAAACCAGGAAAGGAAGAAGAAGAGGAGGAAGAGGAGATGGAAAAGAAACCAGATCCCCTGCACCAGCTTATCCTGCATTTCAGCCGGACGGCCCTGACGGAGAAAAGGTGGGGTGGAATAAGGATCCGGGGGGCATTCCTGCCAGGCAGAAGCTATTGGCGTTCTGTTCTCCTAAACGACAGCCAGCTTCTAGGGATTAGTCTGAAAGAAGTGTGGTGCGTATGGCCTTTGTGGCCATAAACCCCGTCATGCATAAACCCCGCCACGTTGGTTCTTTTCCTCATGCTTATTTTGCTAGCTTGTAAATTCTTTGGGATTCTGCCCCCCCCCTTTGGTATGTGTTTTTCGCCCTCTAGTGGTCAATTCAATATTACACTGGTTATGTTTGACATAAAAATTTGCAGTTGAAATCTGCGGGGAGATATGCTGGACGTAAACCAGTGTAGTATCGAACTGATGGCTAGAGGGTGCCAAACACACTCGGAACGGAAAAATCTGAAGAAACAGGAACTTACGAGCAAGGAAAAGGGGAATGCGGGAAAGCTCAATGTTGTGCTGGTGAGCAAAAGAGGAAAGGGGCAGGAAATGAAGGCACTTGTGGCTAGACACCCTTGCGAGCCAGCTGAGCCCCGGGGCTCAACTTGACACTTTGGGTGAGGAGTTGATCCTGTGTGCTGAGCAAAGCGCCCTCGGTCTGGAGCGCTATAGTTTGGCACATGCGATTGCGGACGGCTACCCTTGGCTCTGAGGCTCAGAGGATTCACCCGAAACCTCAACTCATCAAACACATTGGGTATCCCTTGTGTTGAGTGGAAAACTGGTGAATTGTTTCGGATGTATGATCAGGATAGCATCAACCATGACGCTAAAAGGGTGTGTTGTGCTCTTCATTGGGGGGTTTCAACCCCTTTGTTTCCTGTTCAGCAACAATATTTTAACTTTCGTACAATCCCAATACATTGTCAGCTTTTCTTTTTAGCCTGGGGAGGGGCCGTGGCTCACTGACAGAGCATCTGCTGGGCAGGCAGAAGGTCCCAGGCTCAATCCCCAAGATCGCCAGTTAAAAGGATCAGGTAGGAGGTGATGTCAAAGACCTCTGCCTGAGACCCTGGAGAGCCATGAAGTGGGGCTGTGGCTCAGTGGTAGTGTGTCTGCTTGGCATGCAGAAGGTCCCAGGTTCAATCCCCAGGATCGCCAGTTAAAAGGACCAGGCAGCAGGTGATCTGAAAGACCTCTGCCTGAGACCCTGGAGAGCCATGAAGTCGGGCTGTGGCTCAGTGGTAGTGTGTCTGCTTGGCATGCAGAAGGTCCCAGGTTCAATCCCCAGGATCGCCAGTTAAAAGGACCAGGCAGCAGGTGATCTGAAAGACCTCTGCCTGAGACCCTGGAGAGCCATGAAGTCGGGCTGTGGCTCAGTGGTAGTGTGTCTGCTTGGCATGCAGAAGGTCCCAGGTTCAATCCCCAGGATCGCCAGTTAAAAGGACCAGGCAGCAGGTGATCTGAAAGACCTCTGCCTGAGACCCTGGAGAGCCATGAAGTCGGGCTGTGGCTCAGTGGTAGTGTGTCTGCTTGGCATGCAGAAGGTCCCAGGTTCAATCCCCAGGATCGCCAGTTAAAAGGACCAGGCAGCAGGTGATCTGAAAGACCTCTGCCTGAGACCCTGGAGAGCCATGAAGTCGGGCTGTGGCTCAGTGGTAGTGTGTCTGCTTGGCATGCAGAAGGTCCCAGGTTCAATCCCCAGGATCGCCAGTTAAAAGGACCAGGCAGCAGGTGATCTGAAAGACCTCTGCCTGAGACCCTGGAGAGCCATGAAGTCGGGCTGTGGCTCAGTGGTAGTGTGTCTGCTTGGCATGCAGAAGGTCCCAGGTTCAATCCCCAGGAT